CTTTAATTCTTGGAACAAATCATCAAGTTTCCTAAATTGTCTTAACATCCAATTTTAGAAACTTATGAACAATTGGAGATCAAATCAAATTTTCCATATTAAATCTTCTTGACCCACGAAAAAAGTGAGATATATCAAAAATAAATCTCACAGAATCAAATCAAATATGTCAAGAAAAAAGCTACATCTTGTACTAATGTTCTTGTGCAACATGTCACAACATCTATCAGAACATTTGTCTTCAAACAAGTTAGGACATTTCTCCCAACATCTTTCTGTGAACTATGTTTTAGCAAAATTGCTGCTAATCCTAAAACCATGGAACTAACGGGTTCCTATACCTGAGGGAACAAATATCATTGGCACAAAGTGGGTTTATAAGAATAAATATGATGAAAATGGAGTGGTTACCAGAAACAAGGCCAGAATTGTGGCTCAATGCTACACTCAAATTGAGGGTATTAATTTTTGAGACCTTTGCTCCAGTTTCTCGTCTTGAATCCATAAGACTATTACTAGGAGTTGCAAGTTTGCTAAGATTCAAGTTGTTTTAGATGGATGTGAAAAGTGTCTTCTTGAATGGGTTCTTACAAGAAGAGGTGTATGTTGAACAGCCAAAAGGGCTTGTTGATCCCACTTTTCCAAATCATGTGTACAAACTGAAGAAGGCTCTTTATGGCCTAAAGAAAGACCTTGGGGCTTGGTATGAAAGGCTAATAGAATTCCTGGTCAGCAATGGCTACAGAAAAGGAGAAATAGATAAGACCTTGTTTGTTAAAGATATGGATGGCAAGATCATGATTCTCATATATATGCGGATGATATTGTCTTTGGTGGGATGTCAGACCAGATGGTCTAACATTTTGTCAAACAGATGCAATCTCAATTTGAGATGAGTCTTGTGAGTTAATTAACCTACTTTCTTGGGCTAAAAGTCAAACTAATGGAAGAATTTATATTCATATCTCAAAGTAAGTATGCAAAGAATATAGTGAAGAAGTTTGAGATGGAGAATGTGAGACACAAGAGAACATTTGTTACTACTCACTTGAAGCTCTCTAAAGACGAAAATGGTGTTAATGTGGATCAAAGTCTCTATAGAAGCATGATAGGTAGCTTGTTATACCTTACAACCATCAGACTTGGAATTACATTTGCAGTAGGTGTTTGTGCAAGATACCAAGCTGAACCTAAGATAAGTCAATCAATCAAGTGAAGAGAATCTTGAAGTATGTAAATAGAGCATGTGACTATGGCATGTTATACTCTCATGGATCTTATTCCATGCTGGTGGGATATTGTGATGCAGATTAGGCAGGTAGTATTGATGATAGAAAAAGCACCTCTGGTGGATGTTTTTTCTTGGGAAACAACCTTATTTCTTGGTCCAATAAGAAGCAGAATTGTGTGTCCCTATCCACTGATGAGGCTGAGTATACTACAGCAGAAAGTAGTTATTCTCAACTACTTTGGATGAATCAGATCCTAAAGGAGTACAATGTCAAGCATGATGTCATGACATTATATTGTAACAACTTGAGTGCTATCAACATCTCCCAAAATCTTGTTCAACATAGCAGGACAAAACATATTGACATTCCTCGTCATTTTATCAGGGAGCTTGTTGAGGACAAAGTAATCATTTTGGAACATGTAGCCACTAAGAAACAATTGGCTGATATCTTTACTAAGGCTTTGGGTGCAAATCAGTTTGAAAAGCTAAGGAGTGAACTGGGAATTTACATATTTGAAGAATTATAACAATTAGTCTTGATTATAGAAGATATTAGGCATAAGAGAAAGTTGGTGTAAAATTCAGCCTAAAAAGAGGGAGTAGTGGTAGTGGTGATGGTAGTGTGGAGCATGGATTAATGATGATTATCCCTAATTTTCTATGTTTTCTATTGTGTTGCTAGACGGTCTTTGCTGGTGGTGTTGGGATGTCATTCTATATGTTTAGACATCATTTCATCATATATCTGGGAGTTGTGTGGTTGTGTTCTTAAGAAGGAGTTTTGTAAAAGGGAAAGTTCTGCTGATACTGTGATGTCAGTCAAGATGTCTTGATATTGTATTTAGTTTAGAATTGTTGGATATGCAATTCAGAGGGAGTTCTTGTGTTTTGTGATGAAGTTTTTTTTTTGAAGTTCTTGGTTCTTGTTGTGTGTGAGAGTTTAATTCTCTTTGTGAGGTTCCTTTTATTTCGTTGTGTGTGCCTCTAATTTGTTCTAGTGTGCTTTTGTTTATCTTGTGTTTTTTGTTGGTTCTTCATGCAAAGGTTGTTTTAGCAAAAAAATTGCCAAATGGAAAGATTGTAAGTTTTGTGGTTTTTGGTTTGGCGGAAATTTTGTTAAAACAAGTTCACAGCAAGATGTTGAGACAAACGTCTTGACAGGTCAGTCAGACATCATGATCAGCATAATGTTGGAACATGTGGTAGGACATGTTATACCAGAAGTTTAGGGCTGGAACGATTTGGTATTTAAAGTGTGAGATTTGATAGTATTTTAATTTACACAGTGTCGCAATCCAAGGAGGAATATTTTAGGAACTTCTGTCTTGACAGATTTACTTGTATTTTATAAAAAAGGATCTTGGAGCCTTTTTTTAAGAAACTTTATATTCAGTTTCTATTTTTGTGCAGAAGATTTGAAGCTGTTATTTTGTGATTTGCGTTTTATTTAATTAAAGAGCCCAAGTCCACGCTGATCTGAAGGCTATTTAAAGAGGAGTTTTAAACCGAATAAAGTTGTGAAGTTGTGTATTGAAAGAAATAGTGTTTTAGAGTTTAGATAGTTTGTGTTATTTGTTATTTGTAATCCTCTCTTATGTCTTTTTACATTTAAGTTGGACTATTTTGTTTGTGCATTTGTGATTTATTCATGTACTCCTTAAGTACTTGAATTGGACTGAGTTTTGAATTGTAATCACTCCTAAGTTTTTAAGCAAAGAGTGGACTTTTGTGTCTTTGAAAGTGTGACTTCCTTTCTTCTTTATTGTTGATTTTGTCACTGTTGTGTGATTGGTGAGAAGTGAGAGGGGTCTCATATCTAAGAGTTACTAGATAGAAGTTAGCACGGGTAGTGATTAGGTGAGAAGCTTGTAAACCTGTAGGTATTTGTTGTGGCTTTGAACTAATACTATTATAATGGATTTCCTTCCTGACTTAGATGCCTCCAGATGTAGGTGATGTTACACCAAACTGGACTAACAATTGACTGTGTTATTGTTTATATTCAAGCTCTCTTTTTTTTTTGCATAAGTGTTGTTTGTTGTCTTGATCTCAGTGTCCTGACATTTGTTATCTGTGTGCCAGAATTTCACTTATAAAATGTGAGTTTAGTTTGATGTTCAGTGAGCTCATTGATTGATTGAATGTTGAATGCCAAAAATTTGAAGTGAGTTGAACAAGTTTGAGAGGATGTGCATTGAGAGAGTTTGAGAGTTGAGGTTTTGAGAGTTTTAAGATTAGTGTTTTGAAAAGTGAGGAAAGAGAAGGGTCTGACGTATTTTTATTAAAACAACGTTCGAAAATGCATCGCCGTAAGTTACACTGAAATGCATCTCCGTAGGTTACAAGGCCTGACTCAAAAACGAATTGATTGGAGTGCATCTGGAGATGCATTTTTGGATTTTAGGGATAATTTTGGTTTTTAACTAGGGTGGGAATACAATGTTTAGGGTGCTTTAAGCAATTTCTCAGATCTAATGCATTAAAGGTTTTAGGTGAATATGTGGTCTCTCTCACACTTGTGTGGTTATCTTGACTCAATATGAATTATTCCCTCATGAGTCATAGGTGGTATCATAGTTTATAGTTCGAGTAAAAGACCGAGTTCTTGTATCAAAAATCTTCTTAACAAATTGGTGGTCACGTGGCGTGTCTCATTGAAGTTTCTATGGCATGGTAAGGACATTAATGGCGGTAGAAATATATGTGAAAGATGTTATGCTTGAGAGGGACACATAAGTAGATGAACTCACATTAAAATGAAATATTGTATGAACTCACATTAAAATGAAATATTGTTAGGATACAAGTGTTAGTTACATGTCTCACTTTATTTGAAAGAAAATAAAAATTGAACACTTTAAATGTGTGATGACTTATATTTTGGATAAATATATTATATCTCTCTTATTTGTTTGATTGCTATCCACGTAATCGTTCTTCAACTAACTGATTCGTGAGGACTTCATCTAACAGATTGTTACTTGAACCTTATTCTCCAATAGTACACTATACATGAGGACATGAGGACTTCATAGCATTTTCCATTAACTTTTTCAATGGTTTGAAAGTTTTTTTAAAGTATATCAAGTTCTCATTATTCTAGTTTAAAGAATATGTTACTAAAATTACATTTAAATGTATATTTTATACAAATACTACCTCTGCAGAATCTATCCCCCACTTCTGTAGAATCTCTTTTTATTAATAAATAGTCATTTGGATATTATGTCATGTGATACCATTACCAAATTAACCTATCTAAAGATTATTCACCTAACAACTAGAGCCACATAAGTGTCTCTTTTACACCAAAAATCATTTGACATTGCTAAAGAGGAGAAATAGTTAAATACAAACCAGTGCTTTATTTTTCCAACAAAGATCCACAGATGAAAGTTCTATGTTACATTGCCCCCAAAGTCTACATAATAAAACACTACATTTAGACATTACCAAAACCACACATAACAAGAAATATAATTCAGTGCCTTTATTTTCACACCAAAAGACACATAATAGCCTTTTATATCATGATAATCATATACCAAGACCGTCCTTCGCAGAGAGGCAAAGACGGTTCCGATTGGTAAATTGAGCCAAGGATGAGTTGCCAAAGTAATGAGCCAAGGATGGATTGCCAAAGTAATGAGCCAAGGATGGATTGCCTTAAGACCAGACGTCAGGACGATCCTATAGTCGTCTGGTCTTATCAAGGACGAGGTTTGATACAATATTTTGTACCAAACCCAATTGATTTTCATCGAAATCAAGCTTCAAGATTACAGCAGTTGCCAGCTGCTGTAACCCATTTGGTAGGCATGATAACGCCACGCCCACCATCGATCATGTCTGCCAACGAGTGGACACTAGGTCCAAGATGATTGACGGAAAAGCTGCCAAGATTTCCCCTCGAATACAAACTAGTCACCTCGGACCCAGAAATATTCGGACTGCTACCGTTAGTTTCTTTTGACGAGTTTAAAGTTCCAACATCAGATTCAAAGAGTTCAGAACTCGGAGAGCCGCTGCACTGCAATTGTTGACCGCAGAATTTATGCACTTTGCTTACACTTTTACCATCTCCTTTAGATGATTTCTTCGTGTTCAAGAAACGGCCACCGCACCCTCTTGGCCGCCGCATTGCATGGAGATGACGAGACTCGTGCATGTAGGGCTGTAAGACAAAAACAAAACTCAAATAGCTTTTAAAGAAAGCAAAAAAAGAATCTAGGACAACCATACATGAAATCATACCTTGCGACGTTTGATCAATTTCTGGCCAAGAACAGCTTTGGCGCGAGACTGCCGGCGTCTAATGATTCCATGGTACTGCTTAGCATTTACATAAATCGGTCCATCATCAGATGTCATGTTAAGTGGCAGCATTATGCGTCCCTTTTTGTTTCATATGAACATATACATGAATCAGTTAGTTACAGATTAATAACAGATCATCAATTGATAAACAAACGCACGTGAAAGCTTGCGAAATAAACGCCGAACCGGAATTTGAGGTCCATAAGTTGAAATGAGTCCATAAAACTGATCTGCGCAAGGATATTTCGTACAGATCTACAAGGCGAAAAGATACAAAGCATAAGTAAAACATGTCTACGTATAAAATACTAAATTGTCGAAGTATTTGGACCGAATACATGTACCTTTTTGTTTATATAAAAAAACAGTAGTAGTAGTAGTAGTAGTTATTTTTTAGGGAAGTCTTACCATTGGCTGACTAAATCCTAGCTCGAAACGAGTCGGGGTATCGGGGAGTGATGACTGCAGTGATATGGCTGTATGAGGCTTTTGCGCATCACCCGACATTTTAAAATCGTCTGAAGAAGAAGAAACATCAGAATGGTTAAGCATAAGAAAATCTCCTCTGCTTTGATTGAATTGAATTTGATTTTGTAAAACTGATTATGGCTAAAAGTGATATATGTTTGTATACAATCATGTAAATTGAGTTGATGAACACATTGAAGGCTAAAAATCAATTGTAGAGGCAAAAATTTTAGATTCTAACTTCAGGTTAAAATCAATTATGGAAGCAAAAATCAATTCTATTCTAAAACATCTAAAACATGTAAAAATCAATTCTACACTTCATAATCAATTTCACCTCCTCCTCAAATAGAACCAAACAGTTAAATTGTTTTCATATAAGTTATGAACTATTTGTATAAACTATCAGAGAGTTTATAGAAATAAGCTGAAAACAATTAAGGGATACAAGCTCTCTCAACTCCTTATTCAAATTAGTAAGCTGAAATAAATCAATCCAAATATATTCCAATAGTCACAACTTTACCAACCAAAGTGTGTCTAGTTTTGCAGTGAAAAAAAATTAATTTTAAGTAAAATGATTTTGTAAAATTGATTATGAATAAAAGTGAGTTGAAGGTAAGATGATTTGCGTTTAGATACATTCTAGCAAAAGTGAATTGAATAGCAAATTTCAGTGTAAAAATTACTTTACACTCAAAAGCTACAAATCTTAGCTTCTAATAAAATTAACTCTGAAAAACACAATCAATTCTACTCGAGAGCAACCAAACATGTCAAAATCAATTCTAAATGCTCCAACCGTGAAATCAAACATACTATGGTATAAATACAAGTGACCAATAAATAGAGAGATACATTATGTAAAACCAACTATTCATATCAAAGATGTGTGACAAGTGTTAGCATCAGACACCGATACGGAACAAACATATACGATTATATCCAACTACTTTCGTTTTTTCAACCAGAGTAGATGTGTCAGTGTCTATGTCCGTGCTTCATACGAGATAGATAAATCCAGAATCAAACTACTTACCTGGAAAGATGGTAAACTGATTGCCATGCCCTTTCCCCATCACATGCTCAGCTCCTCTACCAGACTGCTTATTTCCAGCAAGTTGGTCACCAACCGCGAAAGACGGCTCCAACGAAAACGATTTGATTTGTCCACCACCAGTCTCTCCATAAACAGACTGAGATCCAAAACCACTCCACCATGTTGCTGTTGCTGAACCACTATTACCAGACGACAATTGCCCCACAAAATTGTGTGCAATCCCTTCATGTTCTTTCAGATACAGACTTTGCATAGCCATAACTCCGAAATTTCCCAAAGATTATCTCAAACTTAAACAAACAACTTCCTCTAATCAAAACAATTACCAACACAATAATCACTTTTCCAAAACATACCAAATTCAAGAAACAAAAAGCATAAACATCACTATGTTTTACCTCAGATTCTTACTCAGTCTTCAGCATAAAGTTCTTGGAACCGAAGCTGTTATGAAAAATATACAAAAATAAAAATTAAATTTTTCCACAATTATCAATAATACCAATAGTATAAAACTGTAAGATAAGAAATTAGACAAAAAAATGAAGATAAGTAGAAGGAGACAAAAGTAAGGTGGAAATTACAATCAAGAAAGAAACAACTCAACAACAACCCCAACAGAAAAGTACAACAGAAAAACAAACATAAATACAAAAATTAAAAATACATAACCCAACCCAGATACAGAAACCAAAAAACCAAGCAATACAAACAATAAAAATACAACCTTTTTTTCCTCGAAAATATAAACACAAACCATCTTTACCTTAAAAACATAAACCTCAAAATAACTAAAAATTAAAACTTTACAACACCCTTTAACCCAAAGAAGAAAGAAAGAGAAAGAAAAAAACCAACATGTGAGATTGAGTAGCAGAAGCAGAAATAGTAAAACCCCATTAGGTTGGAGCCATGTAGGTATAATATGAAGCAAGCAAAAGCAGGCAGAGAGAAGAGAGAGGAGAGAGAAAGTGGAAGTAGTAAAAAAGAACAAGAGAGAGAAAGAGATGAATGAGTACAAAAAAAATGGTAATGGAAAAATGATTCACCAATGAGGTTTAGTTTTCATGCATAAAATATCAAAAGGACCTTCCACCTTCATTTTAGTACTATAGTATATTTGTCCTGTTTTTGATTTTTTTAATGTTTTTAAATGGATTATAGAATCACTCCTCATTCTCTCCATCAAATTGATCTAACTTGTAGTAGTTCAAAATAGTCCAAAAATTGGCACTAAACTAATTTTCTACTTTTTAGATAATTTTTTAAAAACATTTGTTAAACAAAAAAAAATAGAATGAGGAAAGAAAATGTTGGAGATGGTGGCCAAACTATATGACAATATTTGTTTAAAGAAACCACTAATCTATTTGTGGTAGTGCATCTTAAATGTTTTATAGTTTTATAGTTTTATATTCTCACTAATGCAAGTGGAACATGTTCTTGATAAGTTTTAGATATTTGAGGTGTGGTCCTAAGTTTGCAAAGTTGCATACTTAGCTAGATCTAATTATACTATATGAGGTAGAGTTTGGCTTATGAAAGCAATAAAAATGAATCTTGTTATATTATAAGTCTACATTATTATATTATGGTCTCTTTATGAATATTTAGGCTGGTTGGAGGTGGTTATACTTTTCTAAATAAAATGTTGGTTGAAATGAGATTAAGTTAGCTTTTTATTTAATTTGAAAATAGTTTCACTTAATTTATAAATCACATAATGCATGTTTAGAATTTTTTTTTTTTTAAACTACCATGTTATCGATAATAGTTGACTGTCATTTTGACTATCATCGACAATTACTTCAACCATCATCGAGCAATACGACATTCATATTTAATCTCAACTGAAATCACTTTTAATCACGAATGATAACTATATATATATATATATATATATATATATATATATATATATATATATATATATATATATATATATATATATATATATATATATATATATATATATATATGAATCACTTCAACCATTAACAACTACAACTCTTTAGATCTTTGATCACTTTAATCATTTTTTATCACAAGTCCAATCACCTTTGAACACAACTAACCATCAATATGATCACAACTTCGATCAACTTTGAACACAAATATAATCATATGGGATCATTATTCTAACTTCTACCTCAAACCATCACCACCACCTATCAATGGTCACTACTCTAACAAAATTGTGTCGTAACATTCTAACACCATAACTCTCCACCACTATTATTAAATAGGAAATTTATAATATTAAAAGCATTTAATTTTTATAAAATAAAAAATGTACTTGAATTAATAAACTTTTTTAATATTGTAAATTTAAATGTAGATAATTACATTTCATAATAAATATAAGTACTGCTTAGATATTTCTCTTAGTTGTTCAATTGTGATTCACACGACATTTATGAGTAAGTGGTATCAAAGTTGATTTCTTTTATTGGATGAATTCATATTGAGATGGAACAAATAGAATAGTCTAACTAATAAAATTAAACTCAAACTCGTGTGTGTGTATATATATATATATATATATATATATATATATATATATATATATATATATATATATATATATATATATATATATATATATATATATATATATATATATATATATATATATATATATATATATATATATATATATATATATATATATATATATATATATATATATATATATATATATATATATATATATATATACGAGTTTGAGTTTAATTTTATTAGTTAGACTATTCTATTTGTTCCATCTCAATATATATATATATTTTCTATAGTTATACCATAATTTAGTTTTAGTCTCTAAAAATTTCTTTCGACTAATAAATATATAAATATTTTCCGTTCATAAATTTAATTCCTCATGTGAGTTTTCACTAACGAAAGGTGACATAAGTTTTGCACTTTAGTTTATGATGAGTTGGCCAACGTGAATTATGTTAAAATAAAATATATTTCTGTGGAGTTAAAACTAATTTATTTAACTTAGAAAATCAAATGTTACCATCTCAAACATTATATCACTTCTTCCATTGATAATCCTATCATATAAACTTCTATCTCTTCTTCATAGTTTTGGTGTATTTTTTACTCATTTGTATAGCTTCTTCGAAACGTTCGCAGGTATGCTCTGTTTGAAGTTGTTTACAAAGAAAAAGAAAAAATGTTGCTTTATTGGTGCAGTGGTCCCATTCAAGTTATTAAAAATTTATGGTGGCATCATTGAGACATTTCCAAACTGTATCTTGTGGTCCTGTTGGATCCTTCACATGGGAGATCAGGTTGATTCACTTGTTTACTCAATTTGTTAATTTTTTGTTGAGTATTATTTTAGGGGTTCTTAATCAGTCCCTTTTATGCGCGTGTTGTACCGCTTATTTCCCATTAAGAGTGTTTATCGTAGTAATTGAGGTCTTTATTATTTAATGTGGGTCGTAATTTGATTATTTTGTTGAGTGTATTTATACTGCTAATGTTAAGTGTATTTTGACTTTGTGTTTGTATATATCGTACCTGACTTAAATTGTACAAATATGACCCTAAGTGTAATGTACACAACATGGGTTTGTTTAAGGTGGTGTTCTACACCAATGGTTGTTTAGTAAAAGGTCATGACTTAAGATATGAGGGTGGGAAAGTTTATGCATATAATGGTTAAAATATGAATTTGGTCTTATTTTGAAGCATGTGATTTAATCAAGGGGATTGATTCATACTTTGATGATGAGGTTGTGAAAAATATGGTGGAAACATGATGGTGGTAGTTTAGAAGAAGATTTGAAACCCTTTAGGGATGATGGAGATACATCTAAGTTATTTGTCTTTGTATTTGAAAATAGTTTTGAAGTAGAAATATTTATTGAGCCAAACCACTTATAGGAGAGGCCACATTTATGGATAGGATTAGAGACAAAATGAAGGGAAAGAAATGTGATGAAGAGGTTGATAATTCTAGTGAATCAAGCGATGAATTTGTGAAGGGTGTAAATTTTAATGATAGTGAGGAGGAGAGGATTAATGGTTTTGATGAAGGTTTTGATCAAGGGGTGTGCATGAAGGTCAGCCTATATCTATACTTGTTACTGATGGTGATGCCACAAGTGATCCACCCAAAAATGTTTATATCACACAAGAGATGGGTATGAAACATATCATTGAGGAAGACTATATGACTGATGAACTTGACAGTGGGGCAGATGATGACAGTTGTGATGATAAACCTAATATAATTAAATTTAACTAAGAAAATGCTCTTAGTAAGAATTTTACATTCAAGGTTGGAATGGAGTTTTCCTCATTGAAAGAGTTCAAGAATATCATATTGGAACACAATGTCTTATAATGGTAAGGATGTCATATTTGAAAAAAAAAATGATGCAAATAGGTGCAGTGTTGTTTGTAAGGACACAAAATTTATGTAGCTATGTTGTCTTACGCAGTAGAGTTTTAAAATCCACATTATTTAGGATCAAGACATTGTTTAACAAGCACAAATGTGGAAGACAGCTCTTCAATAAAAGTGTCAAAGCATATTGGGTCGCAAAAGTGATTGTTGAATGGTTAAAGAACAATACCAAGATGAAGTTAAATGAGGTGGTAGTAGATGTGAGGTTAAGGTATGCAACTAAAATCACTACGCCATATAAGGGAAAAGAACAACGGATTTTTTTGCATAAACAGCGCTTAAAAGCGCTGCCTATACTGGCGCTGCTGTAGGTAAAGACAATGTTTTTTTAAATGCAAAAGCGTTGTGTTATGTCCCCTTTAGGCAGCGCTTCTTTTCAAAAGCGCTTTCTATTGTCACCTTTAAGCAGCGTTTTTTCTTGAAAAGGGCTTTCTATTGTTCCCCCTTTAGACAGCGCTTTTAAAAGTGCTGTCTAATGTATGTTTTAGTTCTCTTTTAGGCAACGCTTTTTATTTTCCACTATAGGCAGCGCTTTTTTTATAAAAGTGCTTTCTATTCTCCACTTAGGTAGCGCTTTTTTAAAAAAGCGTTGTTTAATGCCTCATTTAGGAAGCGTTTTTTTGTTAAAAGCGTTGTCTATTGTGCACGTAGGGCAGCATTTTTTTGTTAAAGTGTTGGCATAAGTCTCATTTTTTAATAAAATTGCAGCATATTTTTTAGAAGCGCTGACACAACATGAAACCGTTATAGCAGATATATATTCCAAATTTTCATATTACCAATATATATACAACAACTAGTTTTTTATATATATTTCAAATTTGCATATTATTAATATA